GTGAATCCTGTCTAAAGACTTCCTTCCAGCACATGGGAGCAGCGGGGGGGCTATGTTACACTCAATGTGAAAGCACATAGTGCCCCCCAACCCTCATGCCCAAACCCCAAACTTCCCCTCACTCAGCCCCCCTCCCAGCTAGATACCCTGCCCCTAGCCCACTCCTGCCCCCGACCAGTAAGCCTGTCCTCAGCCCATTCCCCCACAGAACCCAACCTTGTGTCCTGCATGCCCCCACAACCCAACCTTGCACTGAGTCCATCATACACCCAAATCCTCTGCCCTGAGTCCCTCATGCACTTGCACCAAGACTCCTGCACGACCACATCCCCAGCCCCCGCCATAAGATTGACAAAAGACAGCCTGAATGCGTTCATAAAGCTGGATTTGACCAGTTATGATGTAAACTTCAAAGAAATGTGCAAAAAAATGCAGCAACGGAAGTCCCATTAAATAAAGTCCATGAGCACAAGGTTTCATTTATGCTATTAATCATTATGTCAATTATTAATAATATTAAATTGTATATTTTCTGTTATGCAAATGGGCATTCTTATCCGGCTCTTTGATGATCATTTGTTTAGAATTTTGAGACAGTTTGGCTGTTTGGTTTGAAAAGGTTGCCGACCCCTGCTTTAAAGGCACTACAAGAAGCTTTTATTTGGTGTCAAAATTAAGGGGGAGCCAATTGACAACGCAAACTAGGAATTAACATGATCAGAATGATGAACCAGAAATGCGGTCTTTAATTTGAATAGACTCAAGGCAAGCAAAAGTTGCAGCAATCAGGTCAACATGAGGACTATGATGAGAGTCTTCACTGAGCAGAGAAAAGAGACAAAAGGCTAGATTTTCAAGATCAGTGTTAAAAAAAAGGCAAGATTAAAAACATAGTGGCCCCATCAAAGATCACACCTAAACTACACTGCCTGAGTGACAGGGAGAACAGCAGTGTTGTCTATGCCGATAAAAGAAGATGGCCAGGTGAGAGAACCTGTGAGGAAAGGTTAAAAATCTCAGGTTTTGGCCATGTTTAGTTTAAAATAATGACTAAGAAGAAACAACCTGACATAGGACTGGATGAAGCAAGATACCTCATTAGCTGAGAGGAGGATCTATGATTTATCAATGTAAAGATGATACACTAAGAGCTTTACAAACATTAAAATACCCACGAGGCAAATCCTTTTTATGAGCAATGAAAGGAGAGCACGCAGCATCCCTGTTTCTGCACTGGGAAATGGGAAACGGGAAACCAAGCCGTCTTGACTCTCAAGGTTTGCCTCCCATTTTTCTACCATTAAAATGTGTGAAACTGCATCTTGACACCATGCTATAAGTCGAACCTCTGTAATCTGGGATTCCCTGGTCCGGCAATATCCGTTGTCCAGCAGGACCACAGATATTCCTGTACCTGAGAGTCCCGGTGGAGGGCTGACAGCTGGGTTCCCCACAGGTGGGCTGCTTGGTGCCCTGCATCTGGACAGCCAGGCACAACCCAGCAGAGCTGGAAGCCCAGAGTGCCACAGCAGGGCTGCCCAATGGGGCCAGGAGCCCAGCACACAGGGAGCTGGGCTGACCATCATAGTAGGAAAGGAAGGAGGTGTTGGGACCAGCGAGGCTGGTGGCAAGAGGAATACTGCCAGGAGGCTGGTCCAGCAAAACCCCTCATCCAGGACTGGTCAGGTCCCGAGGGTAGCAGACCAGAGAGAGCCACCCTTCATTTGCATGGCTATATCATGACATCACAATAGTGCACCAGGACAATACAATCACCTCATTGTGCCACCTCCTAAAGGCACTTTACTATATGCCACTAAAAACCCAGGACTCATCAGACAACTGACCCTGCACTCCAAGACTTTGCTGCAAGCTTCGAACATGGTGGTTACTTTCCCACTAGCACCCATGCAATAACCCCCTCAGTCTCTGGGGAGGCAATTCACTCCTGCACCCCTGCTCCAGCCAGCACCCGGTGATTGTCAGGGCGGGGGAGGGGGGACTGCTGCGGCCATCGCCACCCACAGAGCAACGCCGCCCAGACCCACACCCGCAGCATTAGGCGGGAAGAGGCGGAGTAGACATGAAAACAGACCCCAGCTCCGCCCACGCTTTAACCCAACAGGCAGCGGCACCCCCCTGAAGCGGACAGCCCCGGCATGGGCAACCCACACCCCGTGCCCAGCGCGCCGCAACTCCTCCCTCCCTCCAGGTCCTGCCGTGCTGGGGCAACCCTGACTCTGTCCCCAGAGCCCTGGCAGCACCGCAGCTCTTCTCACAGCGCGCGAGCCTAGGCAAGACGCGCGCGCATTCTCCCTTCTCCCCCCGCCTCCCGCAAACGTCCGCCAACACACAGAACCGGACACTCACCCCGAACCCCAACGGTCACGCTGCTTTCGCGGGCGAGGACTCCGAACCGAGCGCCCGCCTTTGCGCATGCGCACATTGCTCCGATGGTTACCCCCCCTCTCCCGAATGCGCAAGCGCCAACTCTGCACATGCGCGTTAGGAAATTGAAGTTTCCCCTGGTAACCACGCCCATACTGCGCCCGCTCCCAAGCGTAAAGCCAGAAATTTGTGTGGCTTAGGGTTGAACAAGAGCAATGGGGGAGCCGACAGCCTCGCTGGGCCCTGAGCAATTGGGGGGAGGGGAAGGTCGCTATCGTGGAAGAGCCGCCCCAACCATGGAACGCCCCCACCCTCAGCGCTGCCGGGGGTTCCAGCGGTGCTTTAAAGGGCCCCTTCCCCCCTCTCCCAGAGCCCGAGGGCAGTGGATGTTGGGCTCCAGAGAGAAGAGGAGCAGTAGGATGGCAGAAGACAAGGAGGAGCCTGGGGACAGGGCTCACCTGACTATCTAGGCCAGGGGTGGGCAGTAATTTTTGACGAGGCCACTCCAAGATTTTGGAAAAAGTAGTCAAGGGCCTCGCTCTTCCATGATATTAATGGAAGAGGTGCAAGGTCTGGGATGGAGGCTGGGTGCAGAAGGGAGCTTGGGGTAAGGGCTTGGGGTGCAGGAGTGAGCATGCGTAAAGGAGGTGGTTGTGACCTAATGGAGGGGACTGGGATGCAAGGTTTTAGGATGTGACCTAGGGTAGGAGTGGATTGTGATCTGGGGCTGGAGATTGGGGGGGGGGCAGATCTGGGGGAGAGGGTTGGCAAAGGGAGGGGCTGGGGTGCTAGAGGCAGGCTCTGGCCAGGAAACTCACCAGCCAGCAGCCAAATCTGCCTTCCTGCAGATCTTAAAATGTTTCTCTGTCAGCCAGCTTGCACCTAGCCATGTGTTTATGTGAATAACAGCTGGAGGGGAAGGTGGGCGTGGTGCTTCCTGGCTGCCTGTTATTCAGACAGGCTGCTCTCATTGGCCAGTTTCTGGCCAGAAACCAGCTAATGGGATTGTGCTGGGGGCAGGGGCACTGCCTGAAGCTCACCCCTCCCTCCTTCCAAGATTACAGTTTTGCAAGGAAAAGAGGGTCAAATAGCCACATTTCTGAACAGCCTGCTGGGCAAGCAGGGGAGCTGCCTAGGTCTCCCTGGTGCCTCTGTGAGCTGGATCTGGTGGGATTGGCCGTATTTTTCCCAGGCCTGATCTAGGTGGTCACTTAGGGCACCAGGCTTTAAGGATTGCTAAACTAGATGGCAGTGATTTTTTTTCCCTTTAAACAAAGTGTCACGTTGCTGGATCTTGAGGGGAGCAGCCAGATCACTGATGCACCCATAGGTGGGGGTGTTGGCCCCAAAAATGGTATAGAAGGGGGCCATGTGAGGTATTGAATATCTGATAATCCTATGTACGCTGTTCATGTGTTTGTATAATGTCTGTGTGTGCAATTATTAACATGTACTTGTGTGGACACTGAGGATTTCCCTGCATGTGGTTAAGCATTGGGCAGGGCCGGGCCTGTGGACATGCTAATTACCGAGGCCCTGTGGGACAATGGCTCTCAATGGGCCAAGGACACACCTAAAGAATGGGGGCTGTCATCTGAGAGCAGCCAGCAGGGAACACAGAGATTGGCCTCTGTCCAGGTGACCTGCTACATACTACAAGAGGCCAGGAAGGAGATATAAAGAGGCCATGTGGTCGATGCCATTTTGTCTTCAGCTCAGCACTTCATCCCAGAGGCAGCAGTGCAGGGATTGAAGGGCCCGGAAGACCTGTGGACTCATCCTGATCTTAGGATGCGCAATAAGAACTTTTAAACCAGCAGCTGCAACATCTCTGCTAGAGCCTGCACTGAGAACTGGGAGATTCGGTGCATGTAATGTACTGTACTTTAATAACCTTACTCTCATTCTTTTCTTTCTTGTATTAATAAACCTTTAGTTGTTAGATGCTAAAGGATTGGCCCAGCGTGATTTGTGGGTAAGGTCCAAAGGATAAATTGGCCAGAGATCTGTGGCTGGTTTCCTGGAACCGGACAGAACTTGTTTGGGGTAGGTGGGATTGGGTGCTAGGATCCCCCACCTGTGTATGAGGTCTGGGGCCATCTGGGGCATGGTTATTGCTGGGGTGTCGGAGGAGTTTTGCTCGTGAGGCTTCAGGCAGGCTGCT